AAATTTGTAAACCGCTTAGAGAGGGCTGAAAGCCCTATGAAGCGGTATATAAGTCTAATTAATAAATAAATAAAATAAATAAATGTATATGGGACAGTAGGACAGGAACAGTAGTCACACCATTTGTGACCTTTCTTGCCACAGTTAAGTGAATCACTGCAGTTGTTAAGTTAGTAACATAGTTGTTATGTGAATCTGCTTTCAGAAGCTCATACATAATCCCAAGACACTGCAAATATGATAAATATGAGTCACCAAGCATCTGAATTTTTATCAGATGGCCATGGGGATGCTGCAATGGTTGTAAGTGTGAAAAATGTCACAAGTCACTTTTTTCTAAGCTGTTGTAACTTCAAACAGTCACTAAATGAATTATTATAAGTCGGAGACTACCTGTATATGTTACATGAAGTACATACATAACCTAGCCATTATGATTTGTTAACCATACTTTATAGATTTACTAGCGGTAACCCGGTATTGCCAGGGTATTTATAGATATTGAAGCATTTGTCTGATAGGGAGCCATTGAGAGGGGCCTTTCTTCCCTCCACTCCCATGCCCATCATCCCTGCTCTCTCCCTTCCCCCTCCCATGCACTCCTCTTTCCTGCCCTGTCTACAATCCTGGCACTTTGCTCCAAATCCATCAGGCGCTTCCCCATTGGTCCACTGGAGGGCGAACCTCATGTCTGGCTTTCCAGAGGAAGCTGTGAAGGAACTGACATCACAAACAATTGCCGCTCTAGGATGCCGCACTCGATCTCCTTAATGACCCAGGCTCTACCTTTCCTCTCCCATGACATCACAAACAATTGCTGCTCTAGGACGCAGCATTCGCTCTCCTTAATGGCCCAGGCATTCCAGAGTTATGCTGGAACACACAGACACAGACACAGACACAAAAACATCCAGTATTCTCTCTCCTGGTATTTGTTTCCAGTGGGTAAGTCATCTGTGTATCAAGTTTGGTTGAAATTGCTCGAGGCCACCCACTTTTTCAGGAAGCAGGGTAGGAAGTATGTCTTATAGTCCGAAAAATACAGAAGTCCTTTTTCTCCTCTATTGTATTTTTGCAGTAATGGGACTTTTAAATTAGGTCTGGATTTTGAAAGATATCAGATTATATCTTCAACAGCCTATCGTGATAAATTTGCATGATACATTGAAGACAATACCATGTCCATTTGGCTTTGATCACATAATTATCACAGTTACACCCAGATCACTGTTGTATCCAATTGTTTTGGGGAGTTCCAGTTGTTGAGACAGTGGATGCAAAGAAGGTCCTTAAATAAGACTGACAAACCTATGGAGTTCCATCCTATCTAGCAAGGAGAAGATGGCTAGTTGGGTCCAGGAGATGGTTAATTCTTCCTTAATTAGAAAGTTGTTGGCCAGAAATATCAACCTCTTTGAAAGTCTGTCATCAAGACTTCTCTTAACAAAGACTTCCTTGGTCCTAAAACTAGTGAATAATCATGGGGCTTTTGCAAATATTCTATTCCTCAACAGGGTATTGAAGCAAATGTTTGCTGTCAAAATTCAGACAGCTTCGGTAAAGGTAAAGGTTCCCCTCGCACATACATGATAGTCATTCCTGATTCTAGGGGGCAGTGCTCATCTCCATTCCAAAGCCAAAGAGCCAGCGATATCCGAAGATGTCTCCATGGTCATGTGGCCGGCATGACTCAATGCCGAAGGTGCACGGAACACTGTTACCTTCGCACTGTTATGGCAAAATTAAGATCTGCCTTTTCTACTTACGTAATAATGGAAACCGGCCACCAAACTTTCCCAGAGAAGAGAAGTTTTATTTTCCTTTATTGAACGCGTTCAA